AACATTAACAAGATGACTGAACCAGCTCAGGGATGCTGACAAAATAAACATCACTCAGCAATGAAAGAGAAAGGAGGCACCAACATACACAACAACACGGATGAACCCCAGTGATACTGGTGTGTGTAAACAGCCAAACAAAACAAAAACATAATCTCTGTGATCTATTTAGAAGAAATCCTAGGATTAAAAACTAATCCAAAAAAAAAAACAAAAAAACTAATCCAGAGACAAGAAACACAATACTAGTAGACCTGAGTACTACACCAGCAGGGGCAGAGGCGAATGTGATACACTTGATCTTACTCGGGGCTGTGGTTAGTGGCACAGTAACTAATAGACACATAAAATAATCTGCACTACGTTGTATGCAATTGTATCTCCACTAAAATGTGGACCTTTGGAATGACAGTAAGAGACACCACACAGCATACAGACTCTCGGACGTCAATTCCTGCCTTGAACTGCACTTTACTACCACGGCTCACCCCTCAGCGATCTCGATTCGCCCTCATACATGACTTAGAAGCCTTATCTTTAATAAAAGACAGGCAAAGGCAGCATACCCAGCATTCCCTCTTCGGCGGAAACCATCGAAGCCACTCACCCCCATTGTAAATGATGCAGTTATGCAAAATCCACTTTGCATCGGCCAGGAAGGCTTCGGTGCAGCCATACATTTTCTTTTTAGCATTCTGGGAAGAAAAGAATCGGCGCATAATCACCAGCGAATCCGTGCAAACTACATCCAGGAACACCTGCGTCCTCACATAATTTCTTAGCAATCATTTCCCAAATTAATTAATGCTCTTTTACTCATTTCCCAAGGTGCTGTTATTTTTAAGATCTATAACCCTATAAAAAGATGCTTGTTGAATTCATCACAGTAACTTGAATTTTCTCATCTCAAAGCAAGCAGTGCCTTCCACTGAAGAGGACACTTCATGCACTTGTGGATTATTTATTATTATTAAGTGAGGAGGGGCCAAAGGAGTAAAAATGATCAAGATTCTACATACCTGTATCAACCCCCAAGCTGAAAGTATATACTTTGTATGTATCACAATACAGTTTTAACAAAAAGACTTTTAAAAACTAGTAAGAAGGGCTGGGGTGAGGCTAGGGAGATGGCTCAGCATAAGTGCTTCCCTGGCAAGCACAAGGGCCTGAGTTCAATCCCCGGTTCCACGAAAAAAAAAAGAGGAGGAGGAGGAGGAAGAGGGCTGGGGAGACAGTTCTGTGGCATAAGCACCTTCCTGGAAAGTGCCAGGTCCTGAGTTCGATTCCCAGTACCGCATGCCGTGCCAGGCATTGTGGCACATGCCTGTAATCCCAGTACAGGGGAGGCCGAGACAGGAGGATCACTACGAGTCTGAACTGCATGGTGAGACCCTGTATCTATTAAAAAAAAAAAAAAAAACCTAATAGAAAAAATATAGGGAATACAAGAATAAAAAAGTCAAATAAATGGTCTCAGAAAAACCTCATGAGAAATCAGAAGTACTTATTATGTTCCCCATTTTATGGAAGATAAAAATGAAATACAGTAATGTTAAGAAATTTATTCCAAGGGCTGGGGAGGTAGCTCTACAGCAGACAACTTGCCCAGGGTTTAGGATTCATCCCCAGCATCACACACACATACATAAACAAAAAGAAACTTACTCCAAATACAAAGCTAAGATGAACCATCTTTTTTGACTGTCTGTCTCTCTCTCTCTCTCTCTCCCCCCCTCTCTATGGGAGTGTGCACAATTTTCCAAAATTGTTTACAGGTTTATCAGCACTCATAACATAAAGCTTATACTTCACAAATGCTTTTCATTACCCATATTTCGCTAACAATCTGAAAATCCTCACCAGAATGACATCTACAACCTAAAATGTTACAAATACAATTTTCAGGGCCAGGGAGTTAGCTCAGTGGCATAAGCACCTGCCTGGCAAATGCAAGGTCCTGAGTTTGATCCCCGGTAACAACCAAAAAAGAAAAAAAAGGATACAAGTATAATTTTCAACAAGGAAAAAAGTAAGGAATTTTAAACTTTCAAAAACCCCAAGAGATAACAGAGAAATAGCCCCATCAGTAGAGTAATAAGTCAATTTTAAGAAAGCGTGTCTCTGTGGCTAATCTGGAGGGCTCTGAGGCACTTCATCTCCTCTTCATTCTTCCTGCTGCCCTGATTAGTACCTCCAAAAGACAGAGGAAGGAAGCTGGGCTCCAGGGTGTCCAATCACTCACTAATGCTTCACAAGCCACGACTCAGGCTCAGATTGGAGCTCAGTTGCCTGAGCACTCACCCAGCACATGTGAGCCGCTGGGTTCAACCCCTAGAAATGCATCCCAACCCCAACACCCACCCCAAAAAAGAAACTGCAACCCTTTCGAGTACAAAACTAGAATCACTCCCAGAAGTACCGCCAATGGATCTGAACACCCCACCACTGTGCTTGGAAGAACACTACAGGGGCCGGGGAGATGGCTCAGTGGAATAAGTGCTTCCCTGGCAAGCGCAAGGGCCTGAGCTCAATCCCCAGTTCCACAAAAAAAAAAAAAGAACACTATAGACAACAGAAGCGAGGGGCGTAAGAGTTCTTCTATGCAAGTAAAACCAGTGCAGGAAAACATAGCAATCATCTAACAAGAGACAGGACACGGGAACAGAAGGAGAATCCTGAGCCACCCCGAACCCTGAGGGCTACTGCAGAGGGGCTCTTGACAGAGGCCAACCTTTTCCAATGTACAAAGATCCATGGGATGGAAAATATACTCAGCATAGTCAGGATGCTGTTCCAATGGAACGGGCTTCTGGAAGGCATCTGTCTGTAAAAGAAGAGACACACGCAGGGGCACAAACTCATCACTCTTGCGGAAAGCCAGGCACCGATATCAGCGAAGGAGTCTAAGGTATCGCCAGTCTAGTGACCTCCATGAAGGACGGCCTCGAGGAACTCGGAAGCGGTCCACATCCTAAGTCCGCCTCCTAAAGATGATCCCAGGCCCAGTCATGTCTGTTTTCATTTTGTTATTTGTTCTGTTTTCAGTACATACCCAAACAGCAGGTCCTGTCCTCTTCATGAAGGTTGACAATGACAATCCACCACCAGTCACCTTAGGCCTGGACCCTAGAGATGGCCGATGTACACCCCACTGAAACCAAAACTGACTTGAGAGTGGAATCTGGCCACACCTACACATGGCGCACCAGCTAACCCCGCCCCCGTAAGGCTAGCAGGTATTTTTACATGTGTGAGAAAGCCTCACAGTGAGATCTTGTTCCTCCTTTGAGAAACCAAAACACCTTCAATACAAAGGCTCTGTAAAAGCATTTGATCTAGATCCATTTTTGTAAGCCCTACTTCAACTTCAATAAGCTTAAAATAAAAGGCCCCGTTCGTTGTGGGGTGGTATTTATTTAGCAACTTTTAAAAGCGAAAAGATTTAATTAAATATACCAATATGCTCCTGTAATCCCAACTCTCTGGGAGGCTGAGGCAGAAGGATCCCAAGTACAAGCCCAGTCTGTGCACTTCAGTGACTTAGCTGGACTCTGAATCCAAATTTAAAAAAAAGTCTGGGGATACAGCTTAGCATGAAGCCCCTGGGTTCAATCTCTGGTTTATTATTAAAAATAATAATAAACACCAAATTATGCCCAAGGCATCTAAACAGATTAACATTCGTAGTTCAGAACTCTGTTTCATCAGAATGAATGTTTCGTCACTGTCAGTTAAAAAGATGCCTCAGGACTAAGGTGGCCCAGAACGCAAAAGGCCTGGGCTCCCTTCCTGGGGGGCCTCCCATCCCAGAACTCAGTAACTTTCTTCCCTAAGTGATTTTACATTAAACAATATGCATGCGAAATTGATATCTTCTTTGGTTCTTTATTTTGGTTTTTCAGTCCTTAGCAGGCATAATTTAGCCTAAAAGAAGCAGAAGTGATTCCTGTCACATTCAATATAAAAATTATTCCAGTATCAAAAAATTTAATTTTTTTTTTTTTTTACTCCACTAAGGTTATACACTTTTTTTTTTTTTGCAGAACCAGGGATTGAACTCAGGCCCTTGCGCTTGCCAGGGAAGCGCTTATTCCACTGAGCCA